TGTTTTGTTTTGTTATCCCCATAATTTCTGAGTAGCTTTCTTTTTTTCCTCCTTGCAATAAGAAGAGTTCACATGTGGGGTTAGAATGTTTTGAAGATTTCTTTTATTCCAACAATTAGTGGCAGTACTTTCATTGATTCTTTATTTACTTTGCAAACTGGAAATTTGTGATGTTAAAATCCGTTGCAAAATATAATGACTCGAGAGAGCTATGATTTCACCATCTAGTGAGTACCACACTAAACCTTGGATGGAGGAGATGCCACGTCCAAGGAGGAGTACAAATAGATAGAGAGGCAAGTTTTGATGGGCGTAGAATTGATGATTCTAGAGTGACATGCTAGAACCTTTATTAATTTGGTGTTAGTTGGTAACTTGAGTCTCTGGTAGGTCCTAAAGAGAGGGCACAGTGGGCAATCTGAAAGTGAGAGGCTGAAATCTACTCAGTATTACCATACAATCAAGAACTTAACTTTAGATTAGCCAATGTTTTTTATATGCTTGGGAGAGGGTAAAGAACATGCATGCTCTTATTAGTCACAATACCTCAATTTCATCATTAACCATTCGATTCCTACACTGATTATAATTTCTTTGTAAGGAGAAAGACTTTTTATTATAATTGTACTCCCTTACACATTTGTAGTTTAGAAACTTTGCATTTACTTTTAGCTTAAATTTAGAAGTAGCAAACTTTAGTTTATAAAGTGTTCAACATTATTCTCCTACAAATTTAGCTTACAGTTTGAGTAGAAGTATTTCTAAGTTAGCATATAAATTTCATTTTTCCTTGTGGATTTGATACCAGGGTTTTTAAAGAATACTCTATATTATTTGAAGCGATACGTTTACTTGAGTAATACCCCTAGTGTGTAAGCCATTAATATCATATTTATTTTACTCACTAGCCGTTGAATATAAATATTTATTTTACTCACTAGCCGTTGAATATAAATTATGTTATTTTTTACAATCTTTTAGAAGTTAATTAACTATGTAATTGCGAGTCGGGTCACACGACAAAGATAATAATACCCTATAAAGCTTCTATTAAAACAGAAGAAAGTATGTAATTTTACACTTTGTCCACATATCTTCTGTAAATAGGAGGATCATAACATGTATTAAGGGCTTTAACCTCTAGAGACTTTGCTCTCTTTATGCTCTTCTTCTCTCTAAACCCACTCTTGTAGAGAGATCTTTCTCTCTTTGTCTCATGTAACCCTCATTTGCAATATTTAAAATGGGTCATAGAACACTGGAATAACCAATTCATCCCTACAAGGCAAGTCTGTGTGTGATCTTTCATTTTTTTCTTCCTCTCTATCTCTCTCTCTCTCTCTCTTCTCCTCCCTCTTGGTTCCTACTATTCAAATCCATGGGCATGCCTCACAAAAAAAAAATTGGATTCAACACCTTTTGACCTCATACAAGGCATGTAATCCCATATGATTGCTGAAAAATGAGTTAAGTACTATCTAATATCTATTGAGTTTACACAATTTGATTACTGCATAAAATTGCATAGTAATAAAAAAGTTATATTTAAAATTCAAAATTAGAAAGAATTAAAAATAAATAAATAATTTTACAAAATATAAAGTTAAAATTTACTCAATAAGAGATAATGCTTAGTAACTACTATTTTATAAAGCTGATTAAAAATTTTAGAGGCTTTAATTGATGTTAATGAGTTGGGTTTACATTTAGCCTTCAATTGATCCAGCCCAAAACAAGGCAACAAAAATCTAATATACTTACTATATGTGTTTGACATTCAAGGAAAAATGTTATCTATGATTAATATTGATAGAACATGAAATGGACTCAATGATTTGATGTGTACACTTTTAGTTAACAAAATAACTAAGATTTAAGATTGTTGCATTCAAGAAAACTCATGATGACAAAGTAAGGAATTAATGTTTTAACATTGCACACAAATTTAATGCATTTATTGATTAAAACAGAGTTGAAATATGAGATATTGGAGTTTATACATGAAAATTTTTTAATGGAAAAAATCACGGGATATGACTAAATTGAAATGATTCTACTATATAGATGTAAGTTATAAAACCTTACATGTCTTTCGAATAGGGTGTTATAAGGGTATGGGATGTCGACTAGACTTTCTTTAGAGATGATAGAAGGTGTTGAAGAAGTGACCACGATCGAGCATTTGTGGTGATATCCTGACTGTAGAGGTAGGGTGAAAATAGTTTGATGATGTTCTTGACTGTAATGATCAGATGATAATGATAGTTGGGTGATTGCTCATCTATATTGTTCTTTGGTGGTGTTTTACGATCCAACAACAATGATATTGTCAACATCAGTGGCAGGAAGATGTTGGTCAGTGTGTGAGTATCAGTGGCCCAGTGACAACAATTCAAAGATATATGTAATAGCAGTGTGACAACTATTTGATGACATTGGTGTTCAGATGATAATGGAAATGACAATGATAGTCAAGCAATAAAGGAGGTGTGATGTAGTGGTGATTCGATGATGTTGACAGTCAAACAATGTCAAAGGTGGACTAACATTGGTAGACATTTGGTGGTGGAGGTGGCAATGGTGTGATGGCCAATTGATGGTGTTCTGGTGTTGACATTGACAAGGTGAAAGTGTTTCGATGACGGTGGTTGGGTGAAGCTAAAAAATTCTTAAGGCCTCAGTGCTCCCTTGGGTGTTTACCTTCAAGTCAAGATTTCTCCTCCTTTTCACAAAAAAAAAGTGTGCATCTATTTAGAGATTTTAGGAGTTGCATTACTCTTAAATACCACTTGAATTTGGATAATTATATCAAATTGTACGGAGTGATTCCCTTGATAGTACAATATTTTTGAAGTGTTTGAGTACCTTAACAGATATTTATCCGTTGCAAAGGAGCACACAATTTTCTTATAAGGGTTTTGGAAATCAAGTAATTGGTTAGAAGAATTTCAAATGCAATGTAAACTTGCAATGCATTTGGAATTCATTGCTTAGTTAATTTTTAATGTATTTGAAATTCATAGGATTTGGATGAATTCCAAATACAACACTTCATTTAAATTGCTGACAATCGTCACAACCTGCCATAGCCCAACACCACCCGTCTGCCGCCACCGCCCGTTGACTAGCGATAATCACCCTCCACTCGTTGTTAGCTGTCATAGCCTGCTGCAACTGACATCTTTTGTCATCCGCTCCCTGTTGCCCACGATTGATGGCCCCGCATCGCCTTGTGGCTCATTGCCATCACCTTCCACCACATTCCTCCGCCATTGCCCACCACTATCAGATGTTGACCGCCACTTGCTCGCTTGCCTGCTGTTCATCTGTTGCCGCCACTGGCCGCCTATCACCCGCTTGTCTGTTGTTGATATCATATTTTGCATAATTTTCATTTTCCTTCAAACCAAATAAGAAAATATAACAACCCAAATTAATTAACCAAACAGGTCCAATGTATTCCAAGTACAATTCATCACTTCTACACAATATTATTTTTTCAGCAAATTAAACAACGATCAAGTCAATACTCAGTGATTTTGAAGTTTGTTAGATTCAATTTGTCGATCCACTATATTTAACAATAAACTTGCAAGATTTGAATAATATTTGATCATCCAATTAATATACCATACTTTCCTAGTGGCTTATGATGATTTAGGCCCATTTAGACTTGAATTCAATACTTTGTTTAGAATCTCCAATAACCAAATTCAACTTTACCGGCTTTGTGTAGTTTCATTAACCTTGTCGAATTTGATTATTCCAATTTAGAATCTCCAATAACCAAATTCAACTTTACCGGACATATATATACTTTAACCGCCTTCTTCGCAAAGAATGCTATAAAATAGTGAGCGGGAGACTTTTGTTCAGAAGGCGACGAATTCGACAGCCCAGGAAGTGGATCCGCGTATCCTCAAGGGCATTAAGCTGGCCGCCCGCTTCTCCGACGAGGAGATCCGCGCCGCCGTCGATGCCCTAATGGATCAAATGAAGAAGCCCCATTCCCAGGTTCGTTTCTTCATCTTCTTCTTTTGATATATTGCTTATATTGAATGCAAATTGGTTAGGTTTGATGATTTGCTTGGTGTTGGAGAAACTGATATATTGCTTAGTTTCCGTTGAATGAGAGGTTTCTACTTTGGATGACATTAGTTTGAATTCGTGATTTTAGGACTTGTATTTAGTTTAGGATTAACACCCCGTTTTGTTCGCTTGACAGGATTGTAACGGAAACTAGTTGTTGGAGTTCAATTTTAGTTCTCGCCCATTAAGTGAAATTGAGAATGGGGGGATGCTTGAGGCGTGAGGGAGTTGTTTTGGGCTTTTCGGGGGAAGAAATACTTTGCTAGAGCAGACTTCCCTGAAAGAAATAATGATGATAAAAAGAACCGCGCTCTTTATCTGCAATATGGGCTTGTTTTCCCCTTATTAGCTGTTGATTTCAAAGCTTTTGTTTTCTCATGGATGTTGTCGAGTCTCATAAAGATTCATTTGAAATGTGTCATCCGTGAAGGGGTGATGATAAACTTAAATTGAGATTCAGGAGGTGGTGAACAAGATGATGTCTAAAAGGAACTTGATAACGTGGTGGATTATGCAGCAGATTCTCTTGGGCTGACATTTTATAGTTATGTTGTTTTTGCACAAAATTAATCCAATCAAGATCTCGTGGTTCCGGTGTCCCGATACTGTTGTTAGTTTTGGATTTACTTAGTCTAAAGAAGCTGTTAAACTTCTTTAAACCGGAGAACTCTTGTTAACAACTATGGGTTACTTCATCTAATAAATCCTCGTAAATCCAAAGGATGAATTATTATTATTATGTTATGATAACGTGTTGGATTATGCAGTAGATTCTCTTGGGCTGACATTTTATAGTTATGTTGTTTTTGCACAAAATTGGCCCTTTTTATCCTTGGATAATAAGTCATGTATAGATCTATACTAAGCTTTCTTTTTTTGTTCGTCCCTTTCTTCACCATTTTCTGCTAACCTGTAGTTACAGTTGATTCTGTCATGGTGGGAGATGAAATTCTGATATCTGCTGTTCTCTATCATTAAAAAAAAAAAACAAAATGATTGGTTCCTGTTATTGGTCCCAAGATGAAATTCTGATATCTGCTGTTCTAAAAAACAAAATGATTGGTTCCTGTTATTGGTCCCATAGCTGGAATGTGAAGTTTCTGATTCCAAGCTAAAAGCTTTGGGTTTAATTACAGTGTTCCTTTCTATCAGCATACTAATTTTTTTTGCTTTTGAGGTGCAAAAAATGTACAAGTGCTTTTCCTTTTGATTATTCTTTTTTTTCCCTTAATTTTTGCTACAGTATAAGTTTAGATGTCTACAGTGAGAACTTCATCACCAAGTAATGCGATCATTTGTGCTCATGGTGTGGTCCTTGAAAAATATTCATACGGATTTTTTAAATTCAATCCTCTATTTTATATATAATGCATTGCAGGTGCGCTATCTTGCAGTTCTTATTATTGATGAATTGTTCATGCGTTCAAAGCTTTTCAGAAGCCTTTTTGTGGTCAATTTGGATCAGTTCTTGAGCCTAAGTGTTGGTTTCAGGAAAAATCTTCCACTACCTCCCCCTTCTTCAATTGCTACAAATTTGCGCTCAAAGACCATAGAACTATTGGAGAAATGGAATGCCTTTTTTGGAATCCATTACAAACAACTCAGATTGGGTTTTGATTACCTAAAGGATACTCTAAGGTATCAGTTTCCCAATCGTCTTGAAAATGCCGCTCGACTGGAACAGGAGAGGAGAGAAAGGCACCTCAGAACAATGCAAATTCTGCTAAATAAATTTGAATATCTGAAGGAAAACTTCTCCTCCATCAAATTTGACATTCAGTCAACAGTAGAAGAAGTAGAAGAATGTCTGGAGATTGCTAATGTCAAAGAAGGAAACACTCTTGATTTCCCTGTTAATGATGATGAGTTCGAAGAACTCAACTCCCTTGCATTACGCCAAATTCGTCTAGAATCTTTGAAGGAGGGAGACAAGGTTCAGGAAAACAGCGAAAACAAGGCAATCTTTGACGTGTTAAGGGAAGCACACAAGCTTCTTATCTCAAAGCATATGCCATCCGTGCAAGAGTGGATATCTATACTTGTCAGAGTGGATGCAACTGACAACAAATTCAGAGATGCTGCATTAAAAGAGTTCATCGATCTCCGCAATCTCATTCAATCACTCAAGACGAAATGCACTGATTTGGGCATTGCTCTTAATCCCAGCATCACTCAGAAAGAAGATGAAGATTTGTGGGAAGAAGGAAAGATAGAAGCTTTCAAGCCTGAGGACTTCCTCACTAAACCATCCACCAAAGAAAGCAGAGATACAGCTTCTTCTTCATCGGAGAGCAAGTCTACTGTTGGTAGTTCAGTTACTGACAGAGAAAAGCTCTTAGCTGATGCACCTGTGTTGGCATGGAGTCCTTTTCTGCTTGACAATCATAGCACACAACGCGATGTTTTAGCTAACCAGAGTGGCTTAGAGGTTGAGGGTCACTGGGGTAGAGTCGATCCAGATGCTGTGATCCCTGCAGAAAAGATTGCAGAGCTTAATGTTCGTTATACAGTGTATAAAGAGCAACCAGTTGAGATCCCACCATGCCATGCACCTCTTAAAAAGGGTGGGCTTTGCCAGAGAAGAGACTTGAGGGTGTGCCCTTTTCATGGACCTGTTATACCCAGAGATAATGATGGCAATCCAATCAGGCTAGGGCTTCAGACTGGAGCAACTGATACTCGTCTTCCTTCTGAGGAAGACAGTAAACCAACAAGAAAAGAGCCTTCTTATTTTGAATTCCTTATAATTAGAGCCACTTAGAAAAAATAGCAGAGCAAGCAGACCTAAAAGACTCTCTTTTTCCAGGCAAAGAAGTGATGGAAAAACTCGCAAAACAGGCATTGAAGAACATGCATGAGCGAGATAGAGAAGGAAAGGCGATGAAGCGAGCAAAACTAGCAAAGGTTCGCAAGCACAATGAAGAAGTATTACGAGATGCCGCCATGGCTTCCACGTCCTATTCTGAAACTTTTGCCGAGCCTGCTGTTGAAGCATTGCGTGATCATGGAGCTGGTGCAAAGGTGAAGAAAACAACACTGGCATCAATGCTGAAAAAGAAAGTTACTGCGAAAGACAGAATAGCTGAGAAGCTGTTGAGCTCCCGGGCAACTGAAGCTTCAAGCAGACAGCTTAAAATGGGCGAGGATTCGAAGTACAGGGAAGCCTTCCCAAACCAATGGTAGCAAAATTCTTATGTTTTTTCAATCTGGTTTAGGGTGCGGCAACCCGTGCTTATTCAGAAAAGTCGTTTACCTGAATTGCGGACCGCGGGATCTGACTCGCATTCTACATTAATTGTAAATAAGCTGTTCAAACGCAGTTTCTAAATAGTGAAACAACGTTTTCAAAACGCCACTGCAGCCGATAAACCACCCCAAACGGAGCCTTAGCCTGCAAGAGTTCATTCGTGGCCTGATGAAAATTATTTTTGACATGTATGACTTTACATTTGTGCTTTATAACAACAACTTGTTTTATTTTTTTAATAAAAATGCATATTCTTCTTGCCTAAAATGAGATTTTTGATGTCATATCATTAAAAGTTTTTATTTTTTATTAATATGCAAACTTGCTTTTTTATAATTTTTATCATATCATCCTATTCTTTGCCATTTTGATGATATATTAACTTTGAGTGAATGTTCCATTAAAGGGGAAAAAAAAATCTTCACTTAAATAACTTTATATTAGGGCAACTTAACATGCATATCCCATCATCACACAATTCCTATGAATTGACATATCTTAACATCTATAGTTTATTGTAAAGAATTTTTGCATGTCAACTATTCAAAATATTAAATATAATATTTGAACCATCTAAAAGTTAAATTTCATATTTTAACCATCCAAAATCTTCACTCAACAACTTCATGAGTGAATTTAGGAGGGTTGTTGTAATGAAAAATAAATAAATAAAATGTTATGTTTTAAGTTTTGGAAAGTTCAATGTAATTTTTTTGTGGTTGATACGTATAAAGTCTTATGAACTTTTCCTTTTAATTTTCATTGAAATATAAACAAAATTTAATAATTAAAAAATTAGTTTAATTATTCATGCTAATTTATTAAATAATTGA